GGCTAGCCAGCCACCGGCTGATCTCTGCGCATAGTGTTATGAAGTTAGCAGCACGAGCCGCTGCACTCTGCTTCTGGAGCCGGGCACCACATATCTGGGAAACACTCGACGACGATCACAGCGGGGTAGACAACTCGAGAAAGAATTCAACGTTCACCAGCCTTGCTACACGTAATTCTGTCAGCTACGTATTTTTTCTTCTTTTGTAGTTTTAATCATATGTAATATTTTTCGTGTATGCTAGTCGGTTTGTTATTTCGATAGCGGTAACGGCAATGCTAAATATACGGGGGAAAAAACACGTCTAGGGTAAGAAATGAATTAAAGAAAGCCGCATGGATTAATAAAGGTATCGGAAGGAGAAGCTCGGTAGTCTTGTGATAGACCAATGTCGAGCAGAGCAAGCCATAAAAAGTGTATCTGGTAGAAAGGGTATTGATGTTTAGAAAGCTGACCGCTTCAGCGATCTGAACCTTTCTACGGAATATGAGGTAATTCGTAACGTATCACAACTTAAGTAATCCTTGCGTCAGGGCCGTCAGCTTTTACATCACACGCAAGCGAATATTTACCGGCCATTTATCTAACCAAATAGGTCTCGATAGCTCGAATGCCAGGTAAGCGTATCTACCTAGTGCGCCTTCGAGCATAGTTCCCAACGCGATAGATAACTACGTTAGCACTGCGTATTTAGTAGTTCCTATCTAATTGGTTTTAGTGAAATATTCCATAGCTGAATGATCACAAGACTCGAATTAAGCTTATTGCATGTTCATATACGTTGCCGTAAAAATGATTTTCCGATTCCAGGTTCGGTTTTTATTTTCATTTTGAAAGATAACGGCTAGCTTCCATAATAGTTTGATAGTATTTTAATGAATTCGTTGGCCCCAACCTATTTAGCTATCAAAATTCCGACTTTTACAATGAGTCAATATGTGCATATTGTACATAGCTATGTACATCAAACAATATATTATTCCCAGAGGACTCCTGAGGCGGCATGGTCTAGGTGGCTAATGTGCGTCTCTGAGTGCATTGTCATGATCATCATGAAGATGGGGCCATCTTTGGTTTATGTTTTAGCGTAGGCAATCTGTTGCCATGGGACATAGTTACCATGCCGTTCTGTAAGTCTGTTGGAGAAAGATCAGGTAAACCTAGCAAGACCCTTCAGGCTAGACCTTCTAGTGACAGCAGACCCTTGGCTGAGGTGACGACTTCATGGAGTCCACACGGTAGTAACGCCAAAACAAAACAACAAGAAAAGCACTTGTCTAACGCTGATCTACCTCTTCCTCATCTGGTAAATGAATGTTACGGCCCCAATGCGTTTCGCACAGCCTAGAAAGTAGTCAGGAGTTGCGTCTGAAATTGGGCTATGATTCAATTCGATGTTAAGAACGCCTTTGAAAAAAAAATTGTAGAACCTGTTCTTTACTTCGAACTCGATTCTTTATTAGTGGTTACATTATCGAGTAGAGCAAAATATCAAATAGGATCTACCACCTCTTATCTTCGTCAATGTGGAACAAATGGGTCGGACCAAAGCCATGGTCAATAGTCCAAATTTACATAAAACCGCTTGAAGTTCATAACGCGAGGACTTAACACCTGTAGCTATATTTTAATATAATAGCAATGTACAAGTAAAATTTACACCTATCTCTATAAGACATTTTATTTTGTTAGGGGAATAATTAATCTGGTCGTTTCTACACGACTATACCAATTTTTCTAAGTGAAGTTACAGATTGGCCAGCACACTTTAAGTACACAAGTTTGAGCAAATTCTCAGCCTGCGAATAAATTATGCTATGCTTACTATGTACGATCAGACCACTAAGATCACTAACGTAAATAATTCTAATAAAGAATGCTATCGTAAAGGTAGCTAAGTTCTTTAGAACACGCATAGAATTACGGCAATAAAATAACTTAATACGTCTTGATGACATTACTGTAACAAAGCTCGTAAATGCCTTTGGAATCCGTGGCTGATCAAGTTGTAGAAGTCCCTTCTGAATTGGATACTCAGTGTAGATATTAGTTAGCCTCTTCGTAAAATTGATTCTGCTGTGGTTCGCTTTACCTAACTTACAGTATATTTAGAGCACATAAGAAGTAAACTTTCTCAAACTTTCACATAGTTATCTTGTAACTTTACCGCTACCTACTATCTTCACCTTGTAACTAACTCTATTAGCAAATGTTCATCACTTTTTTTTTATGTCGAAATTTTGGATTTTCTTGTGACACTGAAGACAAGGCATATAGCTTCATACTCTCTAATGATATCCTTCAGAATTGTGATTAAATTAATTAATTATTATTAACTAATTGATTAATGATAAGAAGGCATTGTTCCCGATTGGCGGCATCCTAGATAAAGAAAGATTCGTCCACTTTGAAAAGAAAGCTATTTTTCAATAGATAGCCTACTGACTTGACTTCGAACCTTGACAATGAATTTAGTGAGCCTATTAATCAATTAATTAAAATTTTATTTTGTGACACAGCCTATAGCTATTTTTTTTTATCTACAATCCTTGTTTAAATGTGAAAACACAATTCTTTCTTAACAGATTAAGTTTTGTGTGCTACAAAGAAAAACAAAGCCTGACCCAATATTAGTCGCTTTATTTAATAAATGCCGTTACTAAAGCCTAGCATCGTCCTAGACTTACAGTCAATGATCGTTGAATACCTATTGATGTCGTCTGTACCCTCCATATAGCTGGGTCCTCAACGACGTTAAGGTCTCGCCGTATTAACGACAGATCAATTTAAGCAACGAGATAGAATACAGGGGGTCTGATTATATGTAGGCGTCTTCGTTGAGTGTCAAGCAGCGCATAGAGAAAGGAGGACGCCATAGATACAGTTCATTTGTGGCTGGTAGTTCTTGCGAAACACATTTTCCCTTACGTTTTGAAACTTAACTTTGCCCTTTGTATCGCCGCCTGCTTGGAGAGATAGGCACTAAAGAGTTGATGGGAAAGGGGCTTTAAGTAGAGACCGAGGCAAAACGATAAGAGCCTTGTCCCATCAGTGTCAGGAAGGGTTGGTTCAGTGGAACAACTCGATCACAAAATGATTCGCTGCGATTTTCTACTTGCATCACTACAACATACAATAGCTATTAGTCTGTTCTGGGTTGATGGTAACCTGCCCAAGCTATTTACGTTATCGCGCTGACAACGAAGGAGGCAGTATCCTTAAAACTGGCATCGTGCTGCTTGTCGAAAAAAAAAAACGCTAATCAAATTGCTCAGTAATTGTAATGAGTTCTCCTGCCTGCGCAAACAACAGAGTCGCATGTTTTCATTTAATCCGCTAATAGAAAGAAGAGTTGGAGCTATCCACACTACTGGGCTGACATGATCCTCCGGGTTCCCGGGGTAGGAAAATAAGTTGCCCAGTAACAACCTACTGTCCCTTCTTTTGGACTCAACCTAAAAGTCTGTTGCATTTGTATGAGATGAACGGTCACCTCAGAATGAATCGGTCTAATGAACCTCAGTCTGCCGTTACGCAACATTGTATCGATCGCTGAGCGACGTGCAGTTGTCGTTTAATCTTACCCATCGTTTTGACGGTAATGGTCTTTCCACAGCAGCAAACAACGCTGTTGGTAACGCCAGTTCGGAAGCGATCTGCGTGCGACCAGCTTCGGCGTGCGGCTGCCCTGTTTTCTGTTGTTTCTGCTGCACCGGGTGGTCGCAACGGCGGTTAGCAACTCGTCTGGCCTTGGACCTTGAGGTTCAGGCTTCCTTGTGCTCGTTGCCTTTGTAATAACTGCTGCTGCTGCTGCTCGTGGCAACGGCCTTGCGTCCATCGCCGGCCGCGCAGTCGCCGGCGCGAGTTTACCTCGCGGCTGTGGCTCGCGACGGCCACAGCAGCGGTGGCCGGCACTGCTGCTGACGATGATGCTGATGGTGGCTAGCTGACGGCGAGGAGAGAGGACCGGGGCCCTGCTGCTGTTGGGAGAGGGTGGCAGCCAGCACGGGGTGCGCATGCTCCCGACTAGTGGCCTTGGCGGCCGGAGCAGGCGCCAGCAGTAGCGCCGCGGCACCCTCGGCGGTAAGGCGAAAGCAAGCGCGCTGCCAGCCTCTAGCAATACTACAGGGCTCCCGCATGGAGGTGTGCGCCCCTAGTTTGTCGACTTGCAGTTTGTCGTCGCTGTCGCCGTCGTTTGTTTGCCATTGTCACCGTTAGCCCAGCACTAGTACTAGCAGTTGAATCACCACTACATAGAAGTGCCCCGTGCGTGCCACCAGGGACGCCAATGTAGGCTGTGTGCGTACTCTTAGGATATTCCAATCAGCATCCACACATACACACTCACTCACTCACTCACTCAGTAATTCGTTCATCCATATTCGCTTTTCACACACAAACATAAAACACAACACGGTTATGCGTTACTCACGATGCTAGCAAACTGAACAATCTACTGACGTACCCATCAGCTGCCAGGCATTTGGCTATATCAGCTATATTACTAGTATCACATCACGCAAAAACAGCAGTGACTCACAAAGCTATAGAGTAGGCGACAAATCGAGTGATAGAAAAACATTGCGGTATAAACAACAGCAACAGGAACGCCACGGTACAAACAGAAATATTTAACGTCGACATTGCTGCTGCCGCCGCTGCCGTCGCCGTCGCCGCTGCCGCCGCTGCTACTCGTACCGCTACAGAAATAGACCGCTGGCCAGAATTCAAAACTCCGATAGTGTTTATCAACAGTGTCACGTCAGAATGGTTTCGTTGGCAGTTGACTGAGATGGATTAAGGTCCGGGATCGTGTGACAGTGTGATATGTCCAAGCTGTTTTCCGCCTTCCCAGAACTTAACTGTACTTTTGCTCGGCGGAATTTGGCGACAGCGGCGGCTGTTCTTGCTGTTGTAGAACAAGGGCCGGCGTTACAATCGTTGACTTTTTGTAGTGTTCTCTTTTTCCATAGAGTGTGTGCTTGACAGATACATTGTATGAGAATACGAGGCGCCGTTTCCGGCAACAAGTTGCAGCCATCCCTGCACACCCCACCCGACACCCACAGGCAGACGCAGACCTGCGAACGAAAAGTAGATCGAAGAACGCCAGTCATTAAATATGCATATATAGTATAAAGTATAGAATACGTGAATGTTGGTCATACACGTTGGTTTATACGATCGACGACCACAACCCCGTAGCAAAACTACAATATCCCTCCCAGTCCATACGACAGCAGGCATGTAACAAACAGTAACGCTCAGAACATCAATAGCGTTCAACAGTATACGACTTCAATTGAACTCACCCGGCACACGCTCCCAGGGCTACTCCTATAACAACAGTAGCAACGATAACAACAATTAATATTGACATGACGGCCGGTAGTGTATACAATGATATATTTGTATAGCATTTGTTGGATTGTGAATTTACGTGATTGCTTACTGCATTGGCGGTGGCGGTGGCGGTGGTGATGGCGCGGTAGGCGAGAAATAATATCGAACAAGGCAAAGAGAAACAGACGAAGCAGGCGCTAGCGAAGGTAACTTGGCAATCAAATCATACGTAATGGTACTCAATTTCGGTCGACGTTGTACAATGAAACGAAAAACGCGCGCGCTTTCGGCTAAATGATTAAATACTAAAGAAGAGGAGGTTACGAGCAAAATCGACAATGGAAATGTTCTGCACGAAGCCTTCGACGACAAAACAATTTATACGAAAAGAGACAACCAGGGCTGGTTATCACTAAATGCGTCTACAATTGCAACGGTTACTCACATAGTGTTCTCCCGTGTCGGAAGGTTTGCCGGGCCGACGAAATTTGTCAACGACGACGTCGTCGTCGTCACTGTTGTGGCTGTTATTGTTATTTTGCCTGCAAGCAGCTTGTGTTCATCTAACGTAGGTTCTTCAAATTGGACGAAAACGTAAGAAGGGCTCGTAGCGACGACGCCCCCACCGCCGCGCCGTAACCGACCGCCAAGGACGAATAAACAATTGCAATTACGGCAGCCCCCCTCATCTCAAAACTCTAGTAATTACAAGCAAAACATCCATCAAAAGCTAGTACAAAGTCTACTACTATTGTTACTGCCAACAGACTCGGATCTCTCTACTAGTTGACCCAGAAAATCTTCAGTATGCATCTGTGAACCAATCAGGTAAGGGCACCGTAAGCTCAATAGTTATTACGACTGATTTTTAATAGTAAATACTCTCAGGTATGTATGCTCAATAGCAGTCATTAAATTACCTTATCCATTTAGCCAGTGTTTTTGTCGCAGGGATAAAAATCAGCAAAAATTCCCGCGAAGCTCTTTGATTTTTCTCGGTCTCGGAAGGTACACTCTGAAAGACGCCGTCGAAGTTTTCGGTAACAATTGTTATCTACGAGCTTATCTGTTTACGAGTGCTCGATGGACCTGCACATACACATCTATATATATATATATATATATATATATATATATATATATATACATATGTATATCGACGTAGTGTAAATAGTCTCCACGAACAGCGTATTACGATCACTTGCTGTTGAATCCATGAGCGTTTCTCATCGTCGCCATTATCGTTATCTCAAACGATGCGGCGTCAGGATGAACATCACACAATGCTCGGTTATGTCTCAAATTGGACATTAGAATTAGCACACGCAACTTTTCGCATCCTTCTATCGTTTCAATTGATTGTTTCCTTTGACATTACGTAGCCATCGAAATTTGATAACGAATGATATCGGTCTTGTTCGTAAACTCGCTTTACAAGCCTTCTAAATTCCAATTTTTTTTCTTTAATTTTTGTCGAAATCGAAACCACTCGCCGTAGTTGTACGGCTGTGTGCTGCTACAGCGGCGGTATCAACAGCAGCTGTGACCGTTCAGCTTTGCTGTGCTGTATGTGCTGCGAAGTCGGCGGTGGCGGATGCTGCTGCTGTTGGTGTTCTCTCCTTCTCCGCTGCCGGCCGGCGGCGGCGGCGGCGGCGGCGTCGGCGAAGCTGCTGCCAGCAAATGCTGCGTCAACTGTTGCTACTTTGTGACGGCTGCGAGTCCTGCTCCGGCGGGCGACCTGCCGTATGCCTTTGTGCCGCTGCTGCTGCTGCTAGATCATACAGAGAACGAATCAGCCAGGCAGATTCTGCTCGTTGTTGGTTGCCTGTGGCAGCTCTCAGCAGCATTAGCGGTATCACCGGCTAACAACAACAGCAGAAGTGCCTGCTGGATGGTTGCCAGCATTGGCGCGGTTCGGGAAGCCAAGGAGTCAGTCGGACAGATTCCCAGTTCCAATAGGGTCACTCAGCAGGCTTTTACCGCAAAGGCAGACCATGTCTGCCAGTACAGCGGAAGCAGCTGCAGAGTTGATGGCCAAATACTTAGCAATACGACGACACGAAATACAGAGGAAAGTTCAAGATGATGACGATGATGATGCACACATATACTAGTAGAGCAACATTGTCGGTAGTCGTACTGCTAATAATAATTGTGATAGTTGACGCGGACAGTGAAACGATGCCTATGGCGCCCACCTGTACATTGAGTAGACATTACGACAACGGGGTCTTAACGGCTGGCCGGGACCGAGCTGGGCTTTGTTTAACCCAGCTCGTTAATGCAGCCACCAATAATCACTGACAGACACACTGTGTGAGTATATATGCGGTTATCAAAGAGTCTTAGCTTTTAGGTAGGACATGCTACTGCCATATAGATGCTGATAACGGGAAAACGAGTTACATTTTAACTATTGCTTCGAGGGTTCTGTTAGGTAAATCAATTGCTGTCGATATTCGTATAGCCTAGATCACGTGCTAGGTGTCCAGCTTGTCTTCAGGCCTTCACCAGTAAGCCTGTATGATTAGTATTGTGTTATATGTAAGTATGCGGCCTGATTTGAATTAATGTCGACATTAATAGCAACTAGATGTTTAGACACCGTACTGTGATGGTCGACTTGTTTTCCTTGTCTGACCCTACGTTGGTCACATCAAAAGTTGGCATCTTCAGCCGCCTGGCTGACGCGCGGCCGCCATTGCCATTTGCGTTTACTGACTGAGCATTATTTAGTCGAACCCGAACGTCAGTTGTCTTTCTCTCTGCTGTTTGTAGGCGCCGTTATTTCTAGCGCAGCTGGAGCCCGTACAGATGCGATAGTATAAAGCTATTTAACGTTCAGTAAACCAGCAGTTCGATTAGCCAGTCCCGTCTAAACGCGCACGCATTGCCTTCCACTGATCCATTCAACTAATCCAATTCGAGTTTACCAGCTGAGAAGCGAATCTTATCACCTCACCCACTACTGCCCTTCGAGAGCTGCTCTAAGAGCGGTGCTCTTCAAGCCGCCACTGTTACCGCCATAGACACTGGCCGCTTTCTTACATCAACGGCTCCAACTGTCGCGAGCTTTCGGGCATCAGCATCCCTCTCTTCTGACTCCCCCCGACGGCTTCTACCTAAGCGACCTGTGAGTAGCGAGCGCTTTTAAAAAGTGAGCATTTGTTGACGAGACCCATTCGCTACACTGCCCCTTGATCTTCAGCATGTGAGTACAGAACAGCACACGCAACAGCGTTGAGCGCGTCCGTGCGCGTATACCTTATAGAGCGGGACAGAGCATCTCGCCTATCCTCAAAATAGAGCTCGATAGAATAGAGGACAATTTGGGAGTCATATCTCCCTATCGATGCCGACATGCCTTCACTGGCAGCAGAGTTTTCGATAGATTCGACCCTATCTTGGGCAGTGTCAGGCTTTAGCAACATACGGCAGTCTGTAGTCTAAAAGACCTGACACTTCGATTATGAGGAAACTCTAACTAAGCTACGAATGTCAGCAAGGCCATGCCTGTCTGTCAGTATTCTCTGTGAGGCCGTAGATGGACGCCTATAAATCGAACTTTCAAGTTTTAAATCATCGTCTGCTTATCGACATTTTGACAGTTGTCTTCCTGTTGTTGTATTTTGTGCAATACGCTGGACTCCTTCACAGCGTCATATATGAAAGTGGTCAATGAAGGGACAAAAAAAATATATAGACCGGTAGAAGACAGCGAAAAGCTATGAATTGTTGTGCCTTTATAGACATAAATAAAGGAAAACCTAGCAATAATAACTGGACATCACCGGCTGTGAACATCATATGGAAATAGTTCTGACAAGCACTCATCTATTTTATATACATAGCAATTTAATTCGAAGGAATACACAGACTTTGAGAAATTAGGTTTCTTATAGAGATACGTACATGCTACGAGATTCGTCGACTTTATAGCGACATTATTAGCTAATATGTACATAAAACTAGCCTCATTCGACAAGGTTCAGGTGTTCCTGATGTCGCTGTAGCTGTTTTTACAGTGTTGTCTCCGAGCTCCGTATACATATTTCCATACATGCATACCTTTTAATAGAAAGAGCTCTCCAGCCAAAAATTCTAGCGAAGTTTCTATTTTGGGTTAGATTCCTAGCTTTTTTTGTCCCTGCCTTCATTTCTGTATGCCGTGTTTTCCATTCCTCTACCTCCGACTGTTTCTAAACACACGGGCACACATCGTTATCAGTGCAGCACTTCTATGAAAGGAGCAGATGTTTATCGTCCCGAAAATATGCTTTTTCTCGTATATGCGCCATGATGTGTGTGAATAGTTTCGATCGATACCAGCTAGACGGAAACTAAGTCGGGTCTACATGGCCGAGCGAAGGCTGTCTGTCAAATGATATGTTTCATTTTCATCGTCTTCCCTTTGTAAAAGCCGCTGGACTAGAATACGGCTTTTCTCAGTGAAGCAGTAACTCTTCCCCCCCGCCCGCCTCTCTCTCTATCTAGCTCTCTCGAAAGATAGCGAGAGACTATCTGCTACCAATTTCTTGAGTATTTGTTTTCTGCCTTACTTCAGCGATCTATAAGGACATATCTGTCTGTCGGTCCGTTTAGCGAGACTCTGTCGAGGGATTTGGTTCCTAGTGTCGACGACGTCCATGGGTACCGCTGCCGTCAACGAACCCCTCTTGTCTTGGCTGCCGGTCAAAGTAAAGTTTGCCTTGGCCGATTGAGGATCAGTTCGTCCCTC